TTTGCGGGTGGGCTCTGCCTCGTGTTGTTGAAGTCCCCGGAGAAGGTGGACGCTCCGGAAGAGGGGGTGCGGCTGCTGCGGGCGGTGATCCGACTCGGGAGGCAGGGGGGGGGAGAGGAACAAACTGCGGGGAACTGGAGGCGGGAGATGGGAGTGCATGGCATGGCGAGGTGATGAGCTGAGTACAGCTCGACACGATTTCGACGTTGGAGGGGGGACCTAGCTGTACTGATGGTTCTATTCTGTCGGTTCATCATAACCGTACATTGTCGTACGACTCGCAGGAGCGCGGCAAGCTGGACAAATTCATGGAGAAGCGGCGCAAGAAGAACGCGGCAAAGGACCACAGGTGAGGGCGGGTGGGGAGTTCGGCTGACCCGACTGACCCGACTGACCGGACCGGTCGGGACCACCACTGGACATGAGGGGGGCCTGCAGCAGTTGATGATGTGCCCGGATGGTGCTGTGTGTCGTTGGCCCCCTAGTAGTGCGCTGCCCGTACCCCAAGTTGTCGTACGTACATCAAGCTATGGTGTCCCGTCCTTTGCCCGTCTGTGTCCCATCAGAGTACAGCCCGGGGGTGCTTTGTGGCGGTTTTGGCGGTTGTTGCTTTCGCGCCATCACGTTTGCATCACCATCTGAAATGCCCCCCCCCTGTGTGTGTATGTATGTATGTCCGCCTCGGTGGCTGTGTTGTTTCGTGGTGTGTCCTCAGGTACCTGCCCTCAGGTCGCCGGCAGCAGCAGGGGGAGTAGCAGCAGTAGCAGCAGTAGGCAAGATGGTTCAGAAACGGTGCAGCGGACAGCTACAGGACCGGCAGCAGCAGCAGCGGCGGCAGCGGCTACCACCCTGGTGGGGGGTGTTGTTGCGGGTGTCATGGCTGTGGGTGTAGCGGCCTAGCGGGGGGGGAAGGGGGTTGCTTGCACTGCGATAGCAGCAGCAGAAGCATAGCTGTGGTGTCGGTAGTGGCTGCGGGTAAATGAGTGGATTGGCCGTCCTGGGTCCCAGTCATGTGGTGTCACCTGGGGGGGTGCCGGGGGGATTGCGCTCCTCCCCGGAACGAGTGGTGCCGCCCTTTGTGGTCCCCCCGGGGGGGGTCCCAGTACTTTGGATCGGCCACTGGTGCCGATGCCTGCCTGCTGGGGAGGTTGCGGCAGAGGGGTCGTCCTCCTTCCGGACTGGGGGGGGAGTCCCCAGGACCAACCCTGTCGTCCCTCACTCTTCCCGCCTGGAGTTGGACGAGACGTGCCACGTGTCGGTGTAGCTGCAGTCGCTGCGTGCGTGTCGCTGGTGACGTGGCATGTGATGTGGTGCCGCACACCTAGGCCTTATAGGGCCAGATCGGTGCGTTGGTGTTCTGGATGCCGGTGGGTGGACTGTGTGGTGAGACGCGGGGCGTCGGACCTGTATCTGCAATTTAGCCGACATTGTGTACGGCATTGGAACAGGGTGACGTGGCTTCCTCCCCCCTTGAGGTTTCATTCTGTACGTTACCCGTACACCGGGGTTAGGGGGCCGGTAGGACAAGGAGGAAGTGCTGGAGGTTCCCCTGCCTGGCCCCCTCTCCTCATACACACTTGCCCTGGCAGCAGCTTCACTCGTTCGTGGTTCGTCTTTCCCCCCTCTCCCCGCTGGGATTTGGATGTGGTTGTGGATGTGGTTGTGAAGTGGAAAGTCGTTTGGAGGACGAGGTTGCGGCTTTCCATGCATGCGCTGCTGCGGCTGTAGCCTTGTGAAGACATCCGTGCAAACTGGTGATCCGTCCCCTGCAACGCCCTACGGCTCCCGGTTCCGGCCCGGCCAGCAGTACACAGCAGGATTCCTGGGAACCGTGAACCTCGCAGGCTAGGCAGGGCATCGACCGGACCATCATTGGCAGGTGTGCCCCCTTGGTCGCAGAGGGGGAACAATCAAGCAAGCGAAGTTAATTACATTACTAGGTGGACAGCTTTTGCCGCGCAGCCACACCGGTGCGCGTGATAACTCGGTGGAGTGATGGCGCGCAAATGCTGGAGAACTGCAAACGCACTTGTTGGGAATAACGCCTTCGGTCTCTTTGACTTTCAGTTGTTCACTCCTGCGGGAGTGTAAGGTTGGGCAACATGCGAGGGCACGTGTCGGGAGGAGAGGACGGGGCTGCGACATCACGTCGGTACCGCAGGCGCTACTTACATATGACTCTGGGTGGTTTTGCCAGGGAGGCACAAGTGTATGAGCTGACCCTTGGGAACCCTTGGGACCTTGTTTTCTCCAACCGCTACCGGAAGGTTTCAATAAATTGTTTTCTTCATCCTTGAAACTAAACTACAAAAAAATATTATCACCATCTGCAAAAGCATACTTTTATTCTGCTCTCCATCTTAACGCCGGAAAGCAACGCCGTTTTGGACGTTGGTTTGGCAAGCGAGGTTACCGTTCGCCCCGCGGCTCTTAGTAAGCCGCCGTCGCTGTCAAGGACCCTTTTACTTCATGACGCGGTACAAATTTCGCAACATTGGATCGGATGCGTGTTTGCAGAAGCTGGCGAACCCCTTGGGCAGCCGAAGAAGCCAGCATAAACCGTTCGCTTCCGGTACGGAAATTGTGCGCCACCCTCGGAACACAAGAGCGCATCGTGTATATATTCGGGACATCAAAGTGTGCCTGGCATCACCGGAAGAGAATCTCATCTATTTGAAACCGTAGCGCACGCATAGATAGACGCGGTAGTACTCAGGAGCTTTATTCCGACTTCAGCGGGAGACGTCCGTCCACTTACTCAGGTACGTACAGCCTGAATCTCTTGGTAACTATGGCGACCAGTGCTGCGTGTTGCAGGATTGCCCCTTCACTCTCCTCATCCCCTGCCAGGCGAAGAGACCAGTCATGGCGCGGCGCAATGAACGATCGGCTACCGCGTCCGCGCCCCTGGTCGCGGCGCTGCTGCTCGTGGTTCTAGTGGCGACGACGCCGACCTGCATTCGGGCGGCCGGTCGCAGCCTGTCGCAGCGGTCATTCTCGAGTGCGGAGGCGGAAGCGCAGGCGAAGGCCGCGTCCTTCGGTTTCGGATTCGGTCCCTTCTTCGGAGGCAGCGAGGCCAGCGCGAGCGCGGCTGCGCGGGCAAGGTCCAGCTCTGGGCTGTTGTTCCCTCTGTCCAGTGACGCAAATGCGAACGCCAAAGCAGGTGATGTGATACATTTAGTTGCCCACATTCAGCGGATGAGGCCTTTGAAGTCGTATGTATTCGGTGCCTTGGATTTTAACAGTCCTCTTTCCTAACGGGCGAATTGGGTGAACCGACGCCAGTAAGAGTCGTTAGATCCTTTGACGACGGCGGACGAGTCATCGTGCCTGAAGTCAGGCGTGCAGCAGGTGTACTTCCCCTTCCCCCCGCGGAAGCAAATGGGCATCACTTCAAATCTACTTGTGCACTATTTACCTTGTTGCTTGTTGCGTTTGGAGCAGTGAAAGAAAGGTTCTGTCCTTCACTTGGTTGCCCTGGGCTCGTCCGGTATCCCCTCGCTGTGCAGTGGCGGAGAGTGTCGCCGATCGGTTCGCCCCCCGCTTCGGTCTGGACCAGAGCGGTGCCAAGTGCCTTGCGAACGCACTGGCCTCGGCCACCTCCAGCGGCCAGGGGAGCAGCAATGCCAACGCAGGTATGTGGACAGGAGCCGGACCCAATTCCGCAGTGCCCGAGGGAACTCCTGCCCCATTTGCAATGGCATTGCAGTTTCTAGCATGCTAATGCGCCTCGTCTTGTGCTACGTTACGCGTGTACATGAGATGTGTTGTGCATTTTACATTGTGTTGTGTGTCCGCTTCTCTGTCGAGCTCATACCGCACATTGAGACGTGTGCGGGACGACCTCCACTCGTCTCGAGGCATGCACGCAAGTGTATCGCCTCCTAATAATGGTGGTAAACCAATGGTGGTATTTTCCGTACAGATGACAGCCCATCTGCGCGATAGTGGACGGGTTTCTTCCTATTTTCCTGCTCTCAATCGCACCGATTGCGCTCCTGGGGGATCATGTCTTATGTTAGGGTTTAAGCAAGGTTTATGTTAGGCCTTTTTAAACCCTAAGCTTCGTGTTAGTTAGCATATTTTCAGTTGTCTGTCCGCTGTCTGTCCGCCTTTCCCCCCTTAACCGGCCCCGTGCTGCGGTCTGCAGAGGCGAAGGCCAACAGTCTGGCCGTGGGTGGCGGCGGACTGGGTAGTCTGGCGAACTGCGGGGCCCAGGCGACAGCGACCGCCAGCTCCATGTCCTGCCAGTGAGTGCGACATGTGTGACTCTTAACTGCAGGGGATGGGTGTGCAGTGCTGGGGGGAGCCCCCTGGGGGCTGTAGTGAGGTAGCTTCGACATGGGTGGCAGGAAGGGATGGCTCGTAAAACTGCATGTGCGCGACAAACAAGGACACAGTCTCACCTCCTGCCTGCCTAAGATCCGGGTGGGAGTGGCCCGCGCCATGGGCTTGCCGGGCTGTGCCAGCTCTGTTCATACACGAGGCTCCACATCGCGCTGCCAAGCGTCCTGTGTAACGAAAGCAATTGCTGCAAGATGGTATCGTAGCGTTCAATGAACTATGATGTGTGTGCCGCTTTGGTGGATTCCGTCGGACGCGACCAGCGAGGTGCACAGTCGTAGAATGCGTCCTCCCTCAGGATTTCCCTTTCCAAATGAGGTCGGACCTAAGTCTTTTAACGTTGCCTGCTATCTTCGCTGCTGCAGGCGTTACGCTGTCCCCAGGGACGGCAATCTGTGCGACTTCGCTGGTAACTTCGCTACCGACTGCAAGGGTCTGCAATTGATCAACCCCAATGTGGGCGCTGTACGCGCCGGTCAGAGCATCAGTGTGCCGCCCTGCAGCGCCTAGAAGCCCCCGCGCGGCTGCTAAACGACAGTGTGAAAAATACTGCCAGTAGTTACGAATAAAGGATGCAAATGTGTGTTGCGCATGGATGGGAGTGAGATCTGGGGTAAAGCGGGAGGTGCGCAAGAGTGCGAAGTGGAGAATATGGAGTGCGCATATCAGTTTTGTTCGTTCACGATTTTTCTCTTCAGTAGGAAGTAGTGGGTTGTCTGGTAGGTGTTGCTACCTGTTGTTGCTTGGGAAAATCAGGATAGTTGATTGTCCTGGCGGTTGACTTCATTCGGTTGGTTGATTCCAATGTGCATCGGACTCGGCAACGGATTCCGATGTGCATCGGACTGTACATAATAGAATAAACAACTGTCCAGGTGTTGTGTTGGACTACAGGATCTTGGCTGTACGCCACGATCACAACCTGGGACGTGTAGTAATCGGAAATGTGTAGAAGTTTGGAATGTAAGCAATTAATGCGCTCATAACTCAATTCTACTACTTTCATTGACGATTTTTAGGCCCGCACCTCAAAACTCAAAAGCTAGATCGACCACCAGATTTAATGCATGTTCAATAATACTTTCTATTGACACCCCGACAACTGCGTAACCATTCTGTTTCTTATCTAATTAATCCTTGTGGAGGCTTGGGACGCATGCGCTGAGACTGATTCCCAAGAATGCAGGAATACGTCTCTGGGACTGGCTCCAGGTAACGTAGTGATACTTCTCTACGCGATCCTCGCCAGCATCGCACGCGGGCAGGATAACGTGCAAATGATTCCTCAGGGTTACACAGGTTGGGGCTCCGAAGCTCCGATGGGCGTTGCACGCGAGCCGGTCGGGCTCCAGTGTCAAAACTAACAACTGAAGCTCCAAATAAACTTGCTACTACGAATGGTCTTGCGCTGCGACGCCCACGGCTTGCCATGTCCTCGACTAGCCCTTAAGGAATTGCTCGTCTGCGATGAGGGCAAGGCCAACCTAAACCTTTGGTTCTGTGTCTATGCTTGCGAGCGATCGCCTTTGCGGCAGTTATGGGCCGACTCCCATTAGCCAGTTAGCGCCCTCTAGTTAGGTTAAGATAACTGGCGTTCCACTCCACTAAACGTTGGCTAACTGTCGCGTGCTTCTATGGTAGCTCACTTATGCCAGCTGTAGTCGTACGGCATTTTCGTTGGTTCTTGTCATAAAGCAATAATCCGATTTATAAAAATACAAGAATACAGAGTTTGTTTTGAACATGGACGGAATATGGACGGAACATGGACTGCAAATGGCCATAGAAGATATCCGCCGCAGTCTCTTCTTCGCATGCGTTGCATTTGGGCTACTAGAACGCAATTTTTCCTGAAAGGCTATTATCCTGATTCTTAATATAGTGTAACTAGGTTTCGCAAACTTACCGGTCTCTCGGGTTGTAAGTTCACCGTGCACCGAAGCAAACTAAGTAAAGCATTATAATTATTACAGCTTCCACACACCTAGATGATATTTATATTTGCTTATTTTGTGGAATTGAGCTCGCGTGACCCTGAGTACCGGCTAACTACTATGGAGGGCGGTATGCGTCCCCAAATGTCGCGTGCTTCAGGTGCCCGACTTTTAGCCTCATAGTCATCTTAAATATCCACGCTGGCTGGCTAATGGAAGCCGGCCCTATGAGCACCATCAATGTCGAAAGTTCGCTACTCCAAAGATGGACATATGGCATACTGCAGAATCCTGCTGTGAAAAGTGACCAGGTGTGTTGTGAAGTAATCTTCGTAAAGGATTCAGATTATGGTCCAAAAGCGCACAAGGGTGTTCCCGCTAAAAAAATACGGCACTTAACGTGCACTTAGCGTGTTACTCGGATAGATGCCAGTCGAGTGATCGCAAGGCCTCCAAAGGCAGGAAAAAAACAAATTGAACAAGCTTTCTGGGGCGATCTTGGAGATCGTGTTTGCTCTCGACGTGTTTAATGCATGCGCAAAGACTTGCCATAAATTGCACGCCGTAAAGTCAGGGAAAATTCTAAGATTTGTTTGATAAGGTTGAACTTTCTTGAGTTGTGAGCCTTTAGCGATTCCCATGTGCGCTGAGTAATGACGTGAAATCTGCTTCCTGCTGGCGGCTGAATGAATGGAAGACGATGATGATTATGTGGATGTCGACATTGATCAAATAGTTCAGGCACATACGTCCCGTGGCTCCGGGCAGGTATGGATGTGGCAACATCCGGTTAGGTACAACTTGTTGGCAGCGTCCTGATGTTTTTTCGTTCGTCTTGTAACCATTGATGCCTACGTAAACAGGTGAGCACGCAGCCTGGACCCAGCCAAGTTGGACGCACGGAATCCACACCTGTGCCGGCGCCCGTAGCGCCTCTGCCCCGGTCAAGCGGCCCTGGGGGCCTCCTGCCGCCGTACTCCAATCCTTACCACCCCCCGGCCAATGTGCCCACGGCCTCCACACCAGCGTGCAACCCTTATGGTGGCCATCCGCAGTACGGCGGACAGCCGCCTCGGGCCCCAGAGCAGCAAAACCAGCAATACCAGCCGCCGCCCAGTGGGTCGCTCTTCCAACGCACGCAAACGGCAGCACGTGGAAGCAACACCCCCCTCATGCGGCTGCCACCGTACAACACCGTTAATTCCGCCGCAGCGGCGGCTAGCAGCACCAGCAGCGGCGCCACAGCTCCCGCAACGGGTGGTCCAGGGCCCCCCGGGGGGCGGGGACTAGGGCCAGGAGCCGCATACCAGTACCAACAACAAACCTCCTCGACAACCTCTGTCGGCGCGCTGTCGCTCAGCAAACCGCGTAGCCTCGGTCAGCAACTGGGTTTCGGAGCGCCTGCCGGCTCGGGACCCCCCGGCACCGGCATGCACAGTGCAGCGTACGGAAGCTACGGCGCTCCATTCAGCATCAGCAACAGTCAGATGCCCGGTAGTACGGCAGGTGGAGGTGGTCTCGGTGCCACGAGCCACGTGACGGGGACGTACGGCCCCCCTGCAGCTGCTGCTGACGGGGGGCCCATCTCGGGCGGCGGTGTGAGGGGCGCAACAGGCCCCCCGTGTAAGACTGGTAGGTTCCCCACATGGGTCGTGAGGAGGTGGTTGTGGTGGCAATCGCACGGAGGGGCTATAATGCTGCGACTTCCGGTGCAGTAGTCGTGCCTGCAGTGCCTGCATGGCGTGTATTCTGCATATCGATACTCCCGGGGAGAAGCTCTGAGGCGGCCAGGACCCATGTATCGACTCAGGTGGACTGGGTTGCACCAATGTGTCTGTCTATCTGTCGGTCACTGTGAGTCGAGGGGTGCCCAACATGCGGCCATGCGGCGCACGTCATCAAGTAGACCCGGTGACCGGAACCCTTCTTAGGGAAACTGGGGACCGCAACTCGGACCGGGTACGAACCCCTGCACTAGGAGCCAACTGCCCACTGCCGCCGGCGGTGCCCCGGAAGACCTCCGTTCCGAATACCCCGCCGGCCCACAATGCACGAACTCCTTCCTTGCTTGGCTCCCACCCACCTCCGGCCCGGACTCACCTCTTGTCCCCGGCCCTGCAGGCGCTATCCCCCCGGGGCCTACACCCCCCACCAGCATTGGGGCTCATGCGGGGCCGGCAGCGGCACCAGCAGGTGCACTGGGCCCTACCCCAGCAGTAGCGGCAGCAGCAGCAGCAATACCGCCGCCCATGCTCGGTCCAAGTCAGGGTGCTGGTCCCGGTCCGGGGCCCACCACTGCCCCCGTCACCCTCACCACCAGAGGGCCCGGCAACGGCGGCGTCAACAACACAACCTCGGGGGTATCACCCGCTGGCGCCAGTTACACAGCAGGCGGGGCAGTAGCACAGCCACCAGGGGGCCTGCCGCCGTACAGGTCCAGCACTGGCGCTGCCGCCGCCTCTGGCGGTGGTGGGGGAGTGCTGCCGCCGGGCCCCCTTGTGGCGGCTCAACCCCCCTCTGTTTACCCCTCCCAGATGCCCCCTGGACCCCACCCGGGGGGCCCATTGCCACTCCCCGGATTGGGAGGAGGCGGGGGAAGCGGAACTACTGGCGGGAGTGGTGGTGGTGGCGGCGGCGGCGGGTTGTACCCAGGCAGCGTAGGTGGCGGCGGCGGCAGTAGCTACGGAGGCGGCGGTGGCTGTGTTGCCGCTGTGCATGCACATGGGCCTGGTGGACCCGATGTGGGCGCACTGAGGGCCCACAACACCTCCCTGGAGTAGGTGCCTTGCGTGTGTATGGCGCTATGTACATGCGTATATATGTGTGTGTTCACGTGGCCCTAGGGAAATTCCAGGCTTGTATTTGAATATTGGACGAGGCGGCTGCGGGGTTGGGAGTTCGGTTTTGAGGAGGTTCGTGTCACCGGGGGAGGGGTTGCAGAGTGAGGGGCTGTGGGGAGAGGGAGTGGGACCTGTGAGCTGTTGTCCTGCCTGCCCTCCCGCGACACCCCGGCCCTGGTGGTAGGGCCCAGGTGGAGGCCCTCAAGAGGCAGCTGCAGGAGAGCGCGAAGGTGGCCCAAGGGGCGCAGTCGGTGAGAGGGGAGGGGAGGGGGGGAGGGGAGGGTTGTGCCCGGTGTCTCAACTTGGAAACCAACGTAAAGCAGTGGTGGCACACAAGGCTGCGGACGTACCTCGACCTCGCGAGGACAGAGGAGCCACGGCGACCCCCCCGCAGCAGCAGTGACCAGGAGACGTGCGCAAGGAGGGAGATAGAATAGAGTTAGCAAGGTGGGAAAGGGGGAGGGGTGGAGGAGGACCTCTGAAAGGGGTTGGTTGGATCCCCTTGTCACCATCACCTCTTTACCGCCGTTACCTCCTCCTGCAGCTCCCTGTCAACATCCCTCCCCCGGTG